GAATATCTAGTAATAATAATAATAATCAGAAGTGTTTCGTTCCAGCCAACAATGCCAAAGCCCTGGGCATTGAGAGAAATATTATGAGCAAATAGGGTTCTTACAAAATTATGCAATTTTGATAGAATCCTCGCAAGATTGCAGATAAATAATCTGTTGTGTAATACCTTAAATGGTGATGTTTGGGAACTGCACAGATTTTACGACATCCTAGTTTTATATTGAATGCATGCACAACAATGTCAAGCATGCCCCAGCATTTCTTTCTGTTATTATAATATAATTTTCAATAGGTACCATAATAATATAGCTCAATGGGTTTGCATACCAATATTAGTACAATTGTATGTTTAGAGCATGCACAACAATGTCATACATGCCCCAGCATTTCTTTCTGTTATTGCTGCGAAGCAGCCAATTCATATTCTTTACAGCAATTTGACCTCTGAAAGGTCATTGTTTGTCAAAAAACGATTGCCTAAGACGACTGAAAAGCGGAATTTCCTTCTTTCGTTCTGCCAGGTAAAATCAATTACTTTAGGCGACGTTTGTAGACTAACCTACTCGTACCAACATCCGCATGTCGCGCTAGCCTTATCCTACTCTAGGCCTAGACTAGCTAGGATGGTATAGGCCTCCTTGAAGACAAAGGTCCCAATGAAAAACAACGTCACTCTTTGATAGCTAACATTGTCTATTTAACATCACAATAATTCATTATTAGACCTATAGTTGTTTTTTGAATTGTTACTCCACAAATCTCAGCCGATACCTCGCACAACTAGCTAACGTCTCTATCTATTGTCGCGACGCCATGGCTCGCTGGCTCACACTTGTGATATGTCTCGCACTTGTGATCAAATAACACGCTGGCTCGCACTTTGGCAACACTCTTTGGCAGTCAACTCGCCCCTAGAAAACCCGCCCTTGGAAACTTGCCCCATAAAAAAATGTACACTTCCTAGACCATGCAGTCTTAAAAATAAAATTGTAACCTTTGGTAATCAACTAAATTTTCCACATACATAGAAATTTTTGAAACTTTATTAAAAAAAACCTAAACTATAATTCACCACACTATATAGACACTTTTTGACAAAAATAAAAAATTACGACTTTGTTACCCAATTAGAAGTGTTCTAATATAGACAGTGGGTCGTGTCTCATATTATTTGTTATAGTTTTATTATTCATTATTTGACTCGCATAAATAATTTTGTTCGAAGAACATTTATATGCAGTTGTACTTCGCAGCACTTCACTAGCAATTTGCAATTTCTAGTTATAATATAATTTTCAATAGGTGCCATAATAACATAGCTCAATGGTTTTGTATACCAATATTGGTAATACTATTGTATGTTTAGTGTATGCACTACAATGTCAAACATTCCCCCAGCAGTTCTTTTTGTTATAATATAATTTTAATTTTCAATAGGTACCATAATAACAAAGCTCAATGGGTTTGCATACCAATATTGGTACTATCGTATGTTTAGTGCAGTTTGCCTTTGCATAACAAAAAAACTAAATTGTATGTGAAATGCAAAGCAATCCTACTCACTAATTATATTTATATCTTCGAATAATTATGAAGCATAGATTAAATGAACATTTCCAATTTCTTTGTAAATAAAGGCAAGATTTTTATTGATACCTTATTTTGTAGCAGACTGTATTTTTTCAGGCTGTCAAGGAGGCAAAAAAAATAAATTCCTTTTTTTCTCATTTATTTAACAAAATGGATTTTGCCAAGTTAAAATTTTATTCACAAATTTAAAATTGGAGTGTGCGAGGTAATTTTAAGTATAGAGGACGCCCCCAGGCACTTGCACAAGATTGCATCGCATGATCCTAATGAATGAGATGTAAACATTTGAGTATTGGGATTGATAAATGCAGACCTTGAGAAAAGAAACCTGTGGTACTTCCTACCATGAAGATGATTTTCAAAAAATATCTCCAGCAACAAATATTATCTGACACCTAGTGCCTAAACATTGGTTATCTAGAGCCAAAAAAAATAGTTTAAATATAAAACATTGCTGAATGCTTCTGCCCACAGCAGCATGATTACAATTTGTTCAGCCCTGGATGAATGCTTTATAATATTTAATTGAGAGGAAGAAATAATTATTTTTTATTCGAATGTTGGTAGTGGCAAGTGTAATAAGAATAAATTTTCAAAAATTACTTTTAGCAAAGTTTTACGAACCAAGGTATAAAAACATCTTGGCTATTAAAATAAATCAGTATCAATTACAACTTCAGCTTGGTTGTAATGTAATCCCCAAAAGGATGATTAAGACGGATTCATTTTGACTTAGTTGCAACTCAATTGTGTATATATTCCTAGTACTGTATACATCGTCAGGTAAATTGATTTGAGCTTATTCATGCGTGATAGCTGAGGGCACGTGTCACAGTTGTAACAGTGTTAATCGACGATGCTTTCATTCAGCCGCTTCGGTAGATGTAAACACTTATAAAGGCAAATTATGCGATCCCTGTTAATGAAATTGGAGGTCATAATCAAAATATGGAAGCGTAAATGCGGTTTAGTTGAACTGCAGTGATTCCTCGACTTGCGTCATGAGTACCGCCCTCTTGAGAACAGGATTATATAATTAGCTGTTAGGACTAAATTGGTAAGAAGTTAATATGAATATGTTATTTTAGATTATTAATATATTTTATAGTTGTCATTAGTTTGGCTTGGCTTGGCTTGGCTTTAATCAGGAAAATCGGAATTGAATCCCACGTTCTTATAGCTCGGTTGGAAGAGCTATCAATCTGTAATTAGAGGGTTTGTATCCCAGCTAGGTTAATTGGTTTTTCAAGAAAATTTTCCTGATTCTTTTGAGCAACAAGCTCTCTTCTAATCTTGACCAAATAGCATCTTATATGTTAGTATCTCTATGTTACTCAATCAAAACAGGTGGAAAAGAGTATTAAATGTAAAATGAATACAACTATCTTTCATATCTTTTTAATGAGAAAAAATTTGCAAATTTGCTTCAACAATTAATTATAATGGAAATAACTCTAATTTTAGGGAGATGATCTTTGGAGGCCTTTGATGAATACAATTAACACAAATATATCTACTAATTTTTTAAACTGCAAAATAGTAGATAATTGATTAAAAAAAAGTTAAAACAATTATAAATTGAAGAACTCTTATAAACATATACTATAATTTATCTTTTGACAAATGTATTTCTACCATCACTATTGAGTAATTCCTTTCTACTACCAAAACTGTTTATTAAACACAATTTATTTGGATTAAAATAAAAATTGTCGAAGTGTTTGAAAACTGATAGCAAGAGTGAACTACAAATTGAATATGTTTTGCCGAGAATGATTGCACGCTCAAATGTGATTTAAAAAGTTCTCTTAATTGATTATTGCATTTGATAAAGGTCATCGTTCCGGGATTTAATAAGTTGAGCAATGGCATTGAATGATTCATGCGCGGACAAACAAAACTCTTTTTAAAGCTGCGTGATGTATCTTTCATATTTGGATGCCTTGTTCGGCAGACATCGGATCTAATGTTCCCACTGTTGCAGTTAGGCATTTAAAACAAACCAGATTTGAGAGGAAATGTTTAAGTCTGTCTACTCTGAATATTTGCCATTATTAAAGAATTTTATTATTATTATTATTGTACTTATAAATTTTAATCAGTTGTGTTGGCCTAGACCTTGTAATTATAGGGCCAACTATCACTAACACACTTTTTTTTATACCACATGAATTCCCTTTCTAATTTTGATATTAATTGCAGTATTGATATTTGTGATACGTATTAGCATCTTAATTTCTGAGCTGCCTCTGGTGGTCATCACATGTTTTCAGCTGGGAATTTTATCCAATCCATTTTTCGTGGTTCTGTACTTTATTTTCCCAAGGAATCATCAAGCATATGTTAACCATACACATCCAATCGTTTTGAAACTTTGTTATAGTTCAAGGGAAAGCTTCCCCGCTTTGCTTTGTCATAATTACTATTACTGTAACATCAATGAATCAGTGGTGGCTTCAGGTCATTTACTGTAGGTGTGGGGGAGGGGAGAACAAAGCTGTCCAGCAAGCAAGGAGTTTTCAGGTTTCAATGTGGAACAGGGCGCCATTTTCTCAGGTAGAAGACCAAAGTCACATGGCGCACAAACATTTTAAGCTGTTCCTGAAAGTTGTAGATCTTATTAATGCTATAATTTTGGCTGATAGTTTAATCGTTTTTAAATTACGATTTGCTTAGACTGCTACTGACAATCAGCAGGCGGTGTTACATCTTCAACCGCCACTCACAGGAGAGCAAGATAAATTCGTTGTATAATGCAGTGTACAGTGTGCCTGGTTTACGACCTGTTCTGACCTCGTTTTTTAACCTCCAAATAGAAATGAGACTCCAAGTATTTCATCTATTCTTGGTTTTGAATTTGGTAAATACAAATTCTGGTGTCCACTGTTGCAAAATTGAATTATCCAACAATTTCAAGTCTGTTAATGTTGTTTAATTAAAAAAATTTTGATATTTTTAATTTTTGCATGTTTTTAAATAATTTGATTCTTTTATGCAAGGAAATGTGTAACTATAAATAGATATACATAGATATCACCTTAAAGTTAATTACTGAAAACTACAGTACATTGAACCTACCTACAACTTGCTTCGTTGTGACTACACTTTTGTGTTCATTAAGTTAGGAAGCTTTAATGTACCATGGGACCAAGATGTAGTAACAGTAATTCAATCATTGTGTATTTCCCAAATTGTGGTTTTCTAAGTTGTTACATGAACTCAATTAAATGCCTGTAGGTCGTATTAAAGACTCCTTGCCACCTTAATGGTCTTCGTCTCATCCATATTTGATTTGAATATTGGGAAAGGTGTTATATTTGTACTAGTGTAAAGTGTCGTATCTATCAGGCTCATATGAGTTAAACTAGCGGAATAGGTAGCACGCTTTATTCTACTACAATACTGTTAAACAAAGCGTTCAATAATGTTTAGAAGAAAACATGGAAAAGGTGAGTTTTCATTTTTATTTATTGCATTGTAGTCACAATATAAATTTATAATTTCCATTGCAATAATTTATTGCATACATTCATTAAAACCTTTTAATCTGCTCTAAAATTAAATGCAGTATTTCTAATTATTCTTGTTTTTAATCTTTTTATAAAATATCTTTACACTGCATTCACTAACTGTAGGGGAAGATTATTTTTGGTTTGTAAACCTTTAACAGAAATCATAAAAACATTAGGTAGGCTATGCTTAGTGTATCAGTACCATGGATATATAGTTAGGGTGACACTTTGTGGCTAAGAGGCTTGCTTTCCAATCCCAGGGCTCATGGCTGTAAAAAGGCCACTTAAATATCAGCGACCTTCTATGATAAGTTGGAAGGGTCACCATCTATAAATGTGCTTTTAAAAATGATTACTAGGAAACATGGTGTATGATAGATAGTGAACTTTCAAAAGGCACAACAAATAAAATTTTAAAAACATATCTTGCCAAGTAGCTCATTAACATACAAGGGGTGTGTAATGTGAGTAAAACTGAAGTGCCAGGTGCATTTTTTCAAACATTGGAATTTATATCATATGCTGTAAAATCAAGGACATTCTAATACCATGTATGTAAAGTGTAGCCAGGTACCTACCTATTGTATGTCTTAAAAAAAAACCATACCTTTATGTGGTTAAGTTTATGTTGTTAAGTTATTGAAATGCTACATATTTTTTTAATAGTTAACCTGCTTTTTTTCAGTACCTGAAAATTATGTTTATTATCATTTTATTAAATACTACCTTTTATCATAATTAACAGCTTTATCGAATTTGTGAATACTTAAGACCACCATCTGCATAATGGATTAGAACTAAGCTTTGTTTATATGTCTTGGTTGACGTTATAATTTACCCATGCACTAAGTATATATTTAACGTTATGCTTGAAAACACTTGTATTTTTGAACTTGCATTCCTCAATTATTAATTGGTTATTCTATGATAATTATCCAACTTGTGAACAAATTGAGTTGAAATACGGAGCTTACTCCTCTTGGATTACTTTGTAACAAGAAATGGAAATGTAAAAAATTGAAACCAATTTAAAGCATTTTCCCAAATGTCTGGTATTATTTTTATTGTAAGAGTAGAATTTAAAAAAAAAAACAATTGTGTAGCCACAACACAATGAATGGTAGAGTATACTTCGAAGGTACAGCTGTAGAGTAGTGTAAGTCAGCTCTGCTATCTACCAGGTACCGTATCTTTAGTTTAAACTACTAGTTACAGTATGTTCAGGCGGCTTCCGTCTGAAGTAAAGTTACCACAAACGTAAAATTTTACGCACGCGTTACTTCCGACGAGTGTCCACACGATACTTACCTGGGCCATGAGAAAGTTCTTTTTTGCTTTTTTATTTCAAAACTGCAGTACTTCAGAGCTAGAAGTAATTATGCACATTTTCCAGAAGTGATAATTATCACTTTTCATTTCGTTGTTTCTCAACAGTTATTTTTTACGCAAATTCTCGAAATTGTAAAAAGTTATAAAAACATTGTGTCTACAAAGGTTACACATCGCACGAAATGTTAATTTGGTACTCATTTGTAGATATCTTTTGAAAAAATTTGAGGTCAAAATAAAGGTCGCATTTAAACTTGCGAGCTCTGTAGTAAGTGTGTCTACACAGCGCTATTCTGAGCACCTATTCTTTATCTTCCTTGTTTACGCGAAAGTAAAACTCTTACTCCTGAGACTGCTCAATCGTACGTAGTAACATTGAAGTAAGTTATTACAAAGAGCGTCTTCACAGGCACTACCCAGGGCTTGCGAAAAGTAAGTACTAATTCAAAGCATACTTCTAAACTCATCTGAACTTGCCTATAGAAATCTAGTGCACCAGGATCTAGTGGTTTAAGGGGTGGAGATGCGTTCTTATAAGATTAGTAGTCCAGCGGATGCATTGTCTGCATCCTGGTAGGGAGTAGGTTAGGAAGCTTTTATATGTGTTTCTCTTTCAGGAGAAAGTCTCTTAGGTAATACTCTTAGCAGGTCGTTGACCCAGATTACTAATTCTGTACATAGGGTCTGCTGATTACTTTCTCAGTATCTCCTCTTCGCTCACTGTCAACATTTTTTATACTTGCCAGAAACAATCATCTCTTACTCAACAAGATAGACAGTTTTCAGAGACACCTCATTAAATGTACTGTACTTAATATATTGTACATACATTTTTTTCATTTTTAGTTATACTGCTCTTCCTCAGATACACTATGCTACGGTAGTGAAATTTTTCTGTTACATGGAATGTGTTATAATTTCTCTGTAAGACGGACTGTGTAAAGGTTCATTTCAATTCATTTCATTTGACAGGCATGCCAAGTACAATGTAAATGTAGTTTTATCATGGAGTTGGTAATTGGGTGTATGTTTTGACAGATGACCAATGGCTGATAGCACCTTGTCTGATAATGAACTGTTTAGAGTAATTTTGACCTAGTTTCTACAGTATACTCATGAACTAGGAGTTTTATTTTTTAATTCAGTAATTATATGAGAAAATGGTAAAAAAAATTAGTCTATTTTAAATGTGAATACTACCGGGATAAACCGACTAATTAAACAAAAAAATCTTTCGAAAAAGAATGAGGAAGGCGTGTGCTGCGGGATCGCTTCTACTTGGCGCCAAGGCTGACTGTTCCATTTTGTTTTCGAGGGGTGTTCTCTTTTGCGAGAAATTGGGCAATTAATCGGTTTATCCAGGTATAAGTATCCACTCATAGACTACCAACATAATTTGTGTAATTTAGAATGTATAATAGTAGGCCTACTGTGTTTATTGGACCAAGGATCCAATGAAATTTGCTTATACTGCCTTTACTTTGCCAAAAAGAAATCAGTCAAGTTAATCATTAACTTAATGTGATCCAACATTACTAACAAAATGTTAGGTGTATGTACTCTACTAGAGTCTAGACAAAAATTATGTTTGAAAATAAACAAATGCCATCACCTTAGAGTCTACTACAAAGGGTGATACACATAATTTGAAATGCTGATCACCTTCTATGTAGTGAACCGCCTTTCATGTCATACCATTTTGATTGGCTAATTTTGATCCTGAAATTGTTTTCTGATTAAATGCATTTTAAAGTACGTTTAAAAGCATTTAGTGATACTTATTAGCAGAATAATATATTCTTTCATTGGTTGAATTGTATATTTATGTGACAAGGTATTAATTGATGTCTGACTGTTGCACTAGTTCCTAATGTTGAAGTGGTGTGATTAAGACAGTAATGTGAGTTGGTCTGGATGGCGTCACTTTAAGTAGGAACATGATGGATTTTAAATAATTCTGCATTATCATCTTCTACTAAAGTGTATTTACTTCTGCTTTTCCTTGTTAAATTTAGCACAGGTTAAACCATACATTTGTTATTTGCTCCACTTGCATTTATTTAATGAAAAATGTATTCAAGCGCTACTACTGTACTGATATTCTTGCATACTGTATTAGCTGTTCTGTATAAAAGATGAATCCTGAATTTGAGAAGATTTTTGGACAATTTTTGTATGCCATATAAGATGACCTGTCTCTTACCCCCCCCCCCCCTCCAATCGTTTTACTGTTGGAATTCCTCTTTTTGATACCCTATATCCCAACTGGTTAGGTCTACTTTTTGCTGCTTTTTTATGGTCTTATGGTCATAGATGGCAAATGTAGGGTTAATCTCTTAAATACTACCATTTTATGGGCTATTAAATGTTCATCAAAATCTTATTTCCGTGCATTCAAAATTTGTGTTCATTCATGAATACTAACAGTTACAGTAGCTTCATTTCCGTGGTAAATGTGCGTTTTACAGACGATCCGCACATCAGACAAACATGATTTAAAAATTTCAAACATGTGTATGTTGCGCATATAAGACAACCCCCATTTTTCGATCGTAATTTGTTATTTTAAGCTTTGTCTTATATGCAAAGAATATATGAATAATATATGCAAATATGCAAATTTTATTTTTCAAATTAATCATGTTATTTATGCATTTTAGGCCAGTACGTAGGATTTTCGATGGAGAGGTGTATTTTGCGAATGAAGCAGACCTTAGGCCGGGGATCCTAGGACCCCCCGCTGGAAGTCTCCGGAAGCTCTGAAAAATTTAGCCTTATATATGGATTTTTATTCTATTTAAATTGTTATTCATTTGGGTGCTGTTAGGGACCTAAACTGCCCCACCATGGCAAAAAGAAGCAACTGATGTTTGCATTGCTTTGAGTAACTTTGGAATATGGAGCATGTTGATTTTGTCCCCTGCTTCCTTTTCTGGTGGTTTTTGCTGTATTTTTAGTCTCTTACTTCCTTTTTGTGTTGCTGATTACATGTTAATTAGTGGGATTTGAGCATACTCAAATATATCAATATGTTCCAAATTATTAGTTATTATTTGATAATGACTAAAAAACTCGTTGAAAAATTGTTGGTAACTTCTTTTTGTTAATAATATATATATATTTGAATATTTTGTATTTATTATATATATATATATATTTGAATCATAACAATATACAATGTAAAATCAAAATGAAAGGTGCTGCATAGGCAAATGTATATATAAATATAAACAGGAGATAACGATCAAGATTTGCCTCAAAATGCTGCAATGTCTTCTTGACTCTAACCGGTAAGCATAAGAAGCAAAAAGTGTTTATATTTCGGAAGTTGGAAATTCCAGGGTGATCTGAGGGAACCAAACCCTGCACCCTCTGTCGGAAAGAAGTAGAGAAAACTATTTTCTGTCTCAGTGTACCACTTTCGGGGATAGAGGTGTCTAATTTAAAAATTTGCTCACCTCATCCCCTACCTTAATGGGGTTGAGGTGGGTAGGAAATTTATATGGATTGGTTAAACTATTACATTTGGTTTATGGTCAGTGATTTTGCTATTATTAAGAGGGTAATTTGCTGTTAATGATTCGCCTACATCGAAAAAACTAGAGTATGGCCCGACTCAGTTATTTTGAAAGCATACTGTAGGCTATGAGTTTGATCAGTAATTCTCCTGACTTGTGCTTTCTCATTTGACATGTATCGTCATGTATGTGCCATAGTAATCCTTTCCAAGTGAGAGTAACTTAATTGAATGATAAATATAGATTGACTCACTTGATTAACAGTCACAGGATTTCATGAATATGCCAATACTTTGCTCATTGAAAATCCCATATTTGGATTCACAATATACAACACTAATAGCTATCATTTTCAGTGTGTTAGTTAATTAAGCATCATTGCCTCAGGCAAACTCTAACAAACGCGCTAATTCATTTCTATTAGTACAGTAGTTGTACAGTGTAATTGCAATAATTTAAAATTTCTTCTAATAGATAAGAAAATGGCGGTTCCAACGATGGGGCAAAAGCTTGCTATGAAGGTGGAGCTTCGTATAGAATGCCGGAATTTAATGAATAAAGATGTATTGTCAAAGTCAGACCCCATAGTTGTTGTTGAGGACTTGAATACTAAAACAGTGGTAAGTACTATATGTGATTTTGCCCTCATATCAGTAGTTTTATTGTCGTGCAGAATAGCTATACATCATATGTATGTAAGGAATATGCTTTGTTGTGATGTATTTTGTTATAATCCATGTAATTTGTAATTTTTATTGTCTTGTTTTCAAGTGAATATTTTAACAAATGCAAAATGTAATAGATATTTTTATTATGACAAATACCTGCTATAACTAGAAAATGCACTTTGTCTAAACAAAGTTGATTGAACAAGAAATTATATGTTTTTGGCGGTAATATTAGATGTAAATAGGTTGAAATCTAAATCAATATATTTTAGTGTTTTCTCAGACAGGTTAGGATTAATCTTGTTATAAATAATCAATGGACATGTGAGACAATGAGTGAAGGCGATATAACTTACCGTGTCAACTATTATTACTACCTAAATTTTACAACCTAAGTGTTTTCCAGCTTGAGGTATCAATACAATATTGGCACCTGGACTTTTGTGACATATATCTTGTTCCATAATGTAAATCGTAAAATGCATGGGGCTGTAAGCAGTGGTGGCACCAGTGGGGCGGGGGCATTTCCCTCCGTCGGACACACCTGGACCCCCCTTTCGTCGATGCTCGACTAGGGCGTCGGATATTAAAATTATTAATTTGTTTATCCAAATAACATTATTTTGATTGATAATCCCTAATATTGTCGTCTAAAAGCACCTTTGGGACCATACTAAGCCGTAAAAATCTTCCAGTGAACCCTACCAAGGTATTCTAGGCCGACGAACCAAGGCTCTAGTCAGCCCCTTGGTTCAAGGCTCTAGTCAGCCCCTTGGTTCGGACCCGTCCTTTGGACATGTCAGACTCCTTGTCAGCAAATTTCCAGCGACACCGCTGGCTAGAAAACACTCCACTGATGTTAGTAATGTTAGCTTTGAACATCAGAAAAGTTCTCTAAATCACACTTGAAAATTGAAATTTTGTGACATTTAGCAGAATGGTTTGCTAATGCTTCTAAAATATACTGTACTGGCCCATATATTCAAGAATTTGGTCTAGGCCCCAACTGGTGGCCAGATCCATAGCTGTAGGCTGATGAAGAATGAAATGAGTTTGAGAATGTAAAAAAAAGGACACCACTTTTGTAACAATCACTCTCACTTAATTGCCATTATTTCTTAAATTGTCATAGGGATATGGAATAAACTATCCTTTACTTTTCACTGATCGCACCTTAAGTTAAAACAATTAGCCATGACTTGACCACTACTTGTTTGGGGTTGTCGATTATGGTTATTAATTGCAGTTAAGTATCTACCATTATAACTATTTATAGATGAATGTTCACAGTTCTATCTATATTTTTCAGCTTGATAGAACAGAGAGAGTGGTGAATAATCTGAACCCAAAATTCGAGAAGAGTATTTTCTTGGATTACAACTTCGAGCAAGTACAAAAGCTGAAATTTTCCGTGTATGATATTGATAATGACTCGGCCACGCTAAATGACGATGACTTCCTTGGTGCTGCCGAATGTACACTTGGTCAGGTATGTCTTACAGGTACTAGTTGAATTTGCAAAATAGCTTACCGTATATTCTCACGTGTAAGGCAATCCGCATATACAGTAAGACAATTTTTTTTTATGTCGGGCGTATAAGATGACCCCTTGTTTCACAGTCAGAATTCCTACTTTTTGCTACTATTTATGGTTTTGATGCAGGATCTAATTGGCTAAAAACAGAGTCAACTAATCTTCTAAATTAACCATTTTATGGGCTTTGAAATGTTCATTAATTTCCCCGCATTTACAATTGCGTACATTCATACTAACATTTAATAGCTTTATTTCAGTAGTAAATTTGTGTGTTATGGACAATCCGCACATAAGACCAACACAATTTAAAAATCAAAAGTTTGTATGTGTTGTGCATGTAAAGACGACCCCTGTTTTTTTTATCGTATCTTCTCACATCTCAACATCTCATAATTCATGTCTTTTATATCTCTCATTCCACATCTTAAATTTCTCAATCTACATCTCACATTTCACATCTCGCATCCTATCTTCTCATATCTTGCAGCTCACATCTTCAGGGAAACAAATTTCATGTATTTTTGTGTGATTGATAAAATAAATCTGAATCTGATAAATTTCATGGTGTTGTGGGAGTGTCTCTTGAATTTAGTGTAGTCTCCAGCAAACAACAATTTCTGTACATTACAACATTTTTCAATCATAGAGTTCCTTGTTTGAATGAATGAAAGGGTGGTTTCTCAGGTTTGTATGTAATGAAATTACTTTTTGGTACATTTCAAGAAAAATATGTTTGTCAATTAAATTACAATAAATTGTATTGAAAGTATGTGTGCATTACAAAATTACAGTGCACATTATGTTAATGAATATGTTTGCAATTGAGGCATTAGTTGCAGCTGTTTACATGCCAGATTATTATGGAGTTTGTACATGAATCAATTTGATTTAATTGAAGCTACATTATATATATTTGCAAATGTATAATATTACCAAGCTACATTTTAGGAAAGTGCTTGTAAAAATTTATTTTTAGATTCTCTGTTAAAATGTGTGTGGGATGAATATGTTGTACAGATTTGTGATTATAGTGGCTCCATGATGTTTGTGTTGATTGCATCCATTGGTAATTATAAAGGGTAAATTAGCTCCATGGTGTCTGTCTGTGTGGATTGCTTACATCCAGTGGTAAATCGAGGAAGACCAGCTCCATTGGGGTGTTTGTGGATTGCATCCGGTGTAAATCCAGGAAGAACAGATCTGTGATGTTTATGTTGGTTGCATCCTGTTATAAATCTAGGTAGAATAGCTCCATGGTGTTGGTGTGAATGCAGAGGGATGGATGGATTTATTCGGTGTAAACACCACTTGAGGATAACCCCTACAAAAGTACGAAGAAGACTTATTTCCAGTGGGGTCCTTCTGGTGGTGATTGGGCAGTACACCGGGTGACAATCCCCTACTCTTTTCTGAATAGTGTACTGTGTTCTTAAATGTGCACAGGGGCCATAATGCACATGGGACCAAAAGGCAGTGCGCTATCGTGACTTGCATTCCAGCCTTCAGCTGAAATACAATGAGCAGGAATGGGGATTGAATTGGGGACCTAGAGATAACCACGGTTCAGCACACACACACGGTGGCTACTACCAACTGAGCTAAGCTGAGCAGGAATATGCATCCAATAGTAGCTCCATGGTGTTTGTGTGGATTGCATTCAGTGCTAAATCCAGAGGGGATCCAAGAATTAGGGGAGAGATGAAGAAAGCATTAAAATGCAGTGGATGTGGTAATACCAGGTTCAGATTTTAAGGCTGTGTCTCATAGGTTTCTTCATCATTTGAGTAATGCTTGACTAGCACAAAGTGATAACCTTGCATTTAGTTATTAGTGTGACATTGAACCCAAGGCTGAATATCACTCATCACCCCCCTCCCCTCAGTTTTCTAGATCACGCTCCCATTAGCTGTAGATACACTGCTGTTTTGTATTGTTGTCTCTGGCATTTATTAACATTGGCATTATTTCTCAGGCATTCAGCAGAAAGCGTCGTTGAATACTTTCAAGAAATTGATTACAGCGCCCTATAAAGCCAAGTACTACTATACAAAAGAACATTTATTATTGTGCACGTTGTTAAAAATGACTCATTGCCTATTTGGGTATTTGGGCAACATTCATTTGTCCTAATTAAATCAACTCTGTGTAGATTATGAAAGTTTAAAAAAAAAAAAAAAACATTTCTCCTGCGTTTGGATAATCTACCAACTGAGCTATGAACCAAGCTAGTGCACCCTTTCGGATTCTCCCATAGGACATGTTGTTCTTCAAGTCATTGAATTAATGCGTAATTAATAATAAATAATTCACATGACAGTAATTTTGGTTTGGAGAAACACCTCCATAGTGTAGCAAAATAGTGTTGCTTTAATCTCTTGTTTTGATTTGATTATCATAAACAAATGAAAAAACAAAAAATACAAAACTAAGAGGCACAGAGTCAAAAGTTATGATATGTGATAATCCTTTAAATCCCAACAGAGGATTTATTTCCAGAGTGGTCCCAAGGACACAAAACACATGATATATGTGAGGTTTCACCACGAAATGAGACGCATCGTTGGTGAAATCATATTGAGATATTCACAAAAACAGGCCAAAGTCAACATTTTTACAAAATTTTGATTTTAATGTTTTTGAATAACTTGATACTTATATATTATGTTTGTATACTTTGTAAGTGAAATTTCTTGCCAAAACAATGTTTTCTGCACATATTATGTAATTCTAGTCATATTATTTGTACAAGTTAGTTGATCTTTGAGGCTGATTTTTTCAAAACGTGGTTCTTATACACCTCAACTTTAAATGCTCACATCTCTGGATTTACTTATAGTAGGGAAACCATTCAAAGACCAAATGAAAGCTTATAATGTGATCTACCCAATTATAATATAAACTCAATTTTTGAATTTCTAACCATGAGACTCGTTTTGTGGCGAGACCTCACATATAATAATGTGTCTTGGGCCATTGTCAACAATTCATCATCATTATCATCATCTTCCCATCTGTCCCTTCAAAGGGGGGGGGGGGTCAGGTGGTCTCAACACCACTTTCCATTCTCCCCTGTCACCAGCTCAGATCAACAATTCTACCATCGTCTCGGATACAATCAATCCAGTCATCCTCTTCTTTTTTTTCATGTGTCTATACCACCTCAATCTGCTTTCTCTTACCTTTTCTCTCAAATTCCTGTCTTTTCACAACTCATATGTAAATTAAATATTGATTTATTTATTAATCAGCTTAAGAAATTGTTATATTGTAAAATAAGTTATTTATAGAGTTCAATTTTTTTTTTTCAGATTGTTTCCGCTAAGAAATTCAGTTGTAATTTGGTTTTGCAGAATAATACGTTGGCAGGCAAAGGCTCTATGATGGTGAGACAAAATACAACAAAATTGATTCAACACAAATTTGCTGCATATATTTGACATTTAAAACATTGTGTAACCTTAGCATTTCATGTGTGATATAGTTTTGCAATCACTAGAGCAGATTGTGCCTAATTGATAGTACCGTACATGATATATAGTGGGACATTGATAGCACTCAATAAAACTACCACAGTGCCTAATGATATTGCCATTCTTTCCTTTAGAGCAACACATCTGGACAAAAAGGTTGGTAGGCCTACACATTGTATGTTATTATAGGGAGTTTTCGATTTCGTAGGACCTAGAACATAATGACGTCACATAATGTCACCTGCGCATGCGAAAATGTTGAGTTTTTGCGGTCGGTGGATTCTAGGACGCAAATTAGCCAAATCTAAGCTGTGCAGAGGAAGTAAGACGGTTACGCATGAGTGAATCCGTTCTAGTGCCGCATCATCACAAAATTCTAAAGTTGCCTACTATTATATCAATGAAAACTTAAAAGATGAATGTTTGGTGAGTTGTACTTGCATTATTGTAGATAGGGGCTGAGTGGACTGTGCTGACAGCTACCCGTGCTGACATCAGTGTATCAACAGATCTGAGATAATAGATTCTTATTTTATTTTCTAGGATGTTGTTGGAAAATCAGACCCTTTTCTAGAGTTCTTCAAAGAGGGTTCTAATGCTGGTGAGTGGCAGAAAGTTCATACAACAGAGGTAGGAATGATATTACCAAATCAATGTTTATCAAGCCTCCGCCCAAAAATGAACACATAGAGAAAATTCTTGTAGTTCCAGAATTTCCTCAGGTTAATGCTGAGTCAAACTAAATGTATTTACCTATGATTTGATATGCTTTGAAGGAAGTGTGTTAGTATTGGACAATAATTGCTTTGCTTCTATTTAGGTCGTCAAAAACACATTAAATCCAACATGGAAACCATTTAAGATTCCTGTTATGACGCTCTGTAGTGGTAACTTGGATAAAAAAATTAAGGTAAACAGTTTAATATGTATCATTTTTTAACAACCCTTAGTATTAGACTAATATCGCATAAACTTCGTATTATTTTAATTTAATTTGACAATTGAAACTGTAGTGTAGTATATATGTGCTAACAAATGATTTTCTGTTTAAGCAGGGAAGATTGTGAAATGAATTTGAATATGTGTATCTGTACTCTAGTTTCTCTAGTAAAAGAGGAACTACTGGGGCGGATTGCTATAAGCTGGCTAAGGGTTAAGTCCGTCTATAATTGTGACATCACTATAACTGGTCTATGATTATAAACCCCTTTATTCAACCGCGGGCCAAGTGTGGCCCGTCAAAGATTTTGATCCGGCCCACGTAACATTGCACTGGAGAGTGGATATTTTTGTGGTAGAATCATTTCTTGTGGCATGGTAGGAGAACCCTCAGTGCAAGTTTTTTTTTTATTTATCTAAAATAAAATGGAGACGAAAAGAAAATTATATTCAAATTTAAGCCTAAGAGTGTCATTTCCGACCATTTATAGGTGCCATAATCATAATTTTTTTTCCCCTCAGCTCCAACCATGGTGGGGCTGAGGTGGTATTCTTCCCTGGCCCATTCTATTATGAATCCACCACTATAAAAGAAAATGGGTGGGCTAACATAGAACAAATGGAAGTATATAATTTATGTCGGCATGCCGCTGGTCTCAACAGATTGGAACTGGCCCCCAGTTTAAAAGGTTGAATACCTGGGTTATAGACCATTGCTATACCGCGGTCTAACTAGTTACTAGGAGGAGGCTTAAAATGGTCTTAAATCATTTTCATCATGGCGTTACAGGTACTAGAACTAGGCCCAGAACGTCAAAGACCAAGAATCAAACGATAAATATTCCGCAGGCTTCTGAACGTCTGTAAAAACCGGTCTTTGTTTATTTAACGTCCATTTAGATAAACATGCATCTGTCAAGCAAGCGTGACATATGTGTAACAGCACTCTCAGTTTTATGTTACTAGGAAATGCTTGTTTGCGTTTCAATACTCAAAGCGGTGTAAGCGAAGACCGTTTTATAGCAATGGTCTTAGCGGAGTGACTTTAGTAAAACCGTCTACAGTGATAAAGCCGGATTTATTCTAGGAGTTAAGACTACCAGTTAAGACTGTTTTATAGCAATCCGCCCCTGGGCTTATACCAGGGAAATCCCCTATTCAATCAAAAGTTTTCATCACTGCATGCCAACTATTTGATTTTTTTAAATTTTTTGTTAGTATTTGTAAAAGTCGTCTAAGACTCATTCAAATTATACCCTGGGCTTTTTCCCAAGGGCTGGTACGTAAAATTGGGCGAAAGGTATGGGTGAGCCTATACCCAAGGTGGACTTGTATCCGAGGAATTACAGTACATATAATAAAAATAAATAAAAATGTCGCTGTTGGAAAGAAAGAGCCACTGTGTATGTAGATCATTTTCAAGTGTACTTAACTATGTATGAAGTGTGCATAGACTGTGAGTAGCTCTTGTTATGGAGACAAACTCTTGAAACCTAGTGCATGTGCAGGTTAAAATAATGTGGTACTCTTATCTTGGATTGTGTTGCCACATTTATATATTTTATTTTGTTTGACAATTAAAGCTAGAATATTTCTCTTTGGATGAATATGGATTTCTTCAACCGAACTTGGATTCACCTCTCAAAAATGAAGAACCTAAACAATAATTGTCATTCCATTCCATTCAATTTAATACTTTTCATTCATTATCATTTACACTGAAAAGGTAATTGAATTTATTTTAGATAGAATGCTGGGACCATGATTTCAATGGTAAGCATGATTTGATTGGGGAGTTTTACACAACTCTCAGACAGTTGGAAGCGGTAAACAAGAAACAGGTATAAAAAACGAATATGCTGCATCGAATGACGTCTTGGAATCATTGCTACGTACAGATTGCTGTGATGATAATTGTGTGACCGCAGTGGCAGATCCAGAATTTTTTTTGGCCGGGGTCATCAAAGTGGCATTCAAAGACCAAAGGGTGTGAAACTTACGATCAAGAGAGAAAGATTCCTTACCTGTTGTTGCAGTCCAGGGGGCTATATCCCCTAAAAACCTTTGTGGTTTTTTTTCATTCCCAAATTTTATCTAAACAATTGGCTCGCGATTTATTTTTAGCTGCTGCTGGGGAGGGGGAGGGGTGAGTAGGCCTTTTGCTACCACCTGGATCCGCCACTGGACTGGTATGTTAATACTAGGGGAGTGATTTGGCATGCTTAGAGTAGTGTTGCATGATCATCAAGTGATTCATTTTTCAGGTGTTGTGTTTTGATCATGATGAAGCCAGTGCTCCAGATCTTATTGGCGATTTCTACACTACAACTCGACAATTGATTGAAAATGATAATCGTCAGGTAGAACCTCTATTTTCCTCAACTTTTGGTACATAGCATACAACATGTAGACCGATATGCATATTTTATTTCATTTTTTATGTTATACTTCCTAAATAATTAAATATGGAAATCATATATAATATGAATGACATCTGACTAGCCCAGCTGCATATCTAAGAGTATTAGCATGGTGGTGGGGGTGGGAGATCTCAGGGAGTTGGGAAAGGGAGTGGAATGCCTCTTCATATCACCTTGTGCACACATGCATAATATTCTCCATACTGCATACATGCAATACAACATACACAAATGTATAACTGCCCATGCTGCCTAACAATAAACACATGCACAACAACCCATACACAATATGCAAAATGGAGCTAGAATGGAATTACTCATGCGTGACCATCCTATCGTGCATCCTATGTTCTCTGCATACATAGATTTGGGCCAATCGCATCTTAGAATCCGTGAGACGAGGAGATCTTAATGTTCTCGCAAGCGCAGATGACATTTAGTGACATCATTGCGTTCTATGTCCTACAGTCGTCGTGCAATCAAAAGCACCATATACATACGTATGATGATCCTGATTGAGACAACCCCTATTTATCCCCCATCCCCCACCAGATACTCTCCCAATCTGTCTTGCACATGCCAGCATTAATGTTGCATATTACTATTGGTCAGAGCCTCATGTACTCTCTGTTTATGCCCCATGAAAATACCATCAAATAAAAAAAAATCATCTCAAAGTTCATATGATAAATATCTATCCAAGTTGGAGATTTAAAAGTGACAGTTATGAGGAAGATATGATAAATGGACACATAAACTCTATTTTAAGAATCATTTATAATTCATTCTTGTGGTGTGATGTTCACTCGACTTTTGATTGGATTTGTCATCTTAACATAATAATTTGAAGACTGCATGTCATGAGTCATCAACATATTCTGGTGTAATGGAAATATTAAGTGTTGCTTCAAGCCCTCGCCTTCATTATTCCCTGTCACTGTTCAGTCTTATGAATGTATGTTAATCAAAGGTGTTGCCGTGTGGTTACAGTCGTCGTTGTGTAGTCTTCCTTGTGAATTGTGTATTAAAAAACATCGCAGTGTAGTCACACATCATATTTGTGGAATGAACTAGACTAGGCTTTTTTTTAACTACTGTAAGCTACAAGTGTTAGGTTTAGCAACTAATTTTACAGTTTACTAATCTCCACAATTCACACTCTAATAAGAATTGTTATCACTAATGACTGCATACATTCCATAGTTGATATGAAATTTATGTGAATATACTTTTGAAATATTTATTTCTGTACCAACTGATAAACTGCCATTATGCTGAGATATTAGACTAATGCTGTAACCTTCAATGTGGCAGATTGGCCTATTTTTCAGGCGTTGACAAACTGATGATGATAACGCTGGTGTATGGTACCTTTTTAGAAGCTAAAACTGATAATTGAGATAACACTAAATCAAAAATAATATTAAACTGAAAACATATAAATATGCAGCAGGGCTCACAAATTGGTATTAAATAGTCTAAAAACCACATAGTATTGAAAATCGAGGGCTCCCTGGTCCCCAGTGGCATCCCCCCACCCTTGTTGAGTCACTGCCCATAATATTGATGATGAGAAACGAGACGAAAAAATCAACATTTATTTTAAAGCTACTGTTTAAAAATAATAACAGCAAAAGCCTCAGTGATGTCATCATAACATAATATAAAATTTACGAATTGCTCTCAAAGTGTCAGTGACCACATTTGAGTTTCATTTTCAAGGTCGAATGGGAATGCATCAATCCCAAGAAAAAAGCTAAGAAGAAAAACTATAAAAATTCAGGAGTGATATTTTTGACTGAATCAAAGGTAGGTGGATTTGAACTTCCTTTTCTGTTAAGTTATTTTTTGGGGGTGTGAACTTACTTTTTGATGTGATTCATATCCGATCGATTATAAGTGAACCCCCTCATAAGATTACTTTTAACTATTGAACATTCTTACTATAAATATTTAACATTATTCTTAATTTAGCTATTCCATATTTTGACTTAGCATATGCTACAGTGTTTCGTATTAATTAATAAACAATGCTTCTCTCAGATCAAAAGACAGTACACATTTCTGGACTATATATTTGGGGGAACACAGATTAATTTTACGGTAAGTCAAAGATAATGTTGATTTGTTTGTATTCAATTCAGTTCAATTCACCTTTTATTTTAGATCAGTTCCATAGAAAGTACAATCACAAATATATTTCAAAGCCCTGTACCGTATAGTACAATATAACAAACAATATAAATAAATTAATATAAAAAAAAATCAATAACAGTACATGTTGGTGTCTACAACAGCAATATAAGCCTACTGTGCCCGTACATATAACAACCGATTTCACTTCCCAAAAACAATTTAGAATCACAAACCATTTTAGAGTACACACGTTTGATAAGGTTGTTGCAACTGTTTTTGTTTCTGGTTTTAAAATTGTACACCGACTTACTAAGGTATTCATAGAATAAAGGTACAATATTTGTAGAAACATTTTATATTTATAATTTCAATATTATAATTGGTGGACTTGGTTGACCTAGTAACCTGATTGAATAATATCAAATGGTAAATTTCAATTCATAATAATGCATTTGCTACAATATGCCATCGCCATTAGCCATTATTATACTGCAAGATATACATAATCTGTTTATAAAATATAAATTGCTTTACTGTATAAGGAATGAATACTTTATGCCATCGTTTGTTCCTACTTATTTTTTCTTGCCTTCTTGAAATGAGTAGAGTACATTGCCATTTATAGTTTGGTTGCCTTTCTTGTTTTTCCTGCTATTTTGATATATTGTTGACTGATGTTGTTTGAAGATTATATGCACCTTTTGTTACTTTGTATTCAAATATATATTTATATGTTCTGTGTGATACACTACTAATAGTATTGTTGTATACAGTAAGTTGTGTCAAACTTAGATGTTTGAATAAATGATAACGTGTACCTAGTAAATTAATAATAATGATGATCTATTTATGTAACACTTATTGTATAGTCATTTAAATAAATAATAAGTTTGCATTGCATATGTTATAAAGTACAAATGACATATGATGTGACCTTAATGCCCATGGGGGAGGCAACCTTTCTAAAGAATTTAATTATATGCAGTCTTCAGAGTTTATTCACTTTGCAACATAAAATCATCGTTCTGTCTTTATTAAGATAGATAAAAAGTGCATTGTTTACAAAATAACTGACGACAGAGAGTGTTAAATTTTGTGTAAGCTATGACTTTAGAATATAGTTGTATTCACACCGAATCCTAATTTTTTGGATGGGAAAGCCTACCAAACCAATCAGAAAATATTGAATCAGTATGCAAGAATAGGGATGCTGGCATTCAGCGCATCGGAAACGTGGTCCAAGTTTCGGTTTGGATCAGTTGTAGATGCAGCTTTAATCAACGTTTGTTTAAGGTATGCAAAAAACTGAATAGGGAAAATATGTGCAGGTACGACTTAACGGATTAGCAATCCCTTGGTACAGATGCACTGGTAATGAAAGAAAAATATGTCAAATGTGCAGCTAACCAGGTCTTGAGTAGCTACAGGGAATATCTGTAAGTGGTATCGTAATACATTAGTGAACTTTAAGAACATGCTTACTTGCTAATGTCAGCTGACATGTGGAGGGCATACTACTATAATAGCAAAGGGCTTTTATTCTTGTTTATGTCAGATGATGTTATCTGACATGTGACTCATTAAAAAATGTTATTGTCAAACCCTTTCAATACGTACAGACATGAAAATTAATGCTGGTGTTGTTTAACATGCGAAGACCTTTAAAACGATCATTCAAAAATGTTTATAATAAATATCTTTGGGTATATACTTCATTTGATGCATTCTTTTTTTTTTTGCAGTTGCTTAAGTGTCTCTTGTCAGGTATCAAATTACAAAATGAAAAAGACTTTACCACTTTACCAATATATGATGATACCTTAATTTATCAATGAGAATGCATTTGTATGGAAAGCTCTTATGGACATGCAAAGATGGGGGTGTTTAAAATTGCTTGAAACAGAAGATTCACTGGAAATATGCAAGCAAATTAAATTCTATGTCCTTGATCAAATAGCCAATTTTCAACAAACCAAGTGTAGAGTAAAGTGAGCGACAATAGTTTATATTGGAAAGTCCCTAAAGATGACTCTTTTAATGTTTGAAGTTAAAAGACATGTTTTCATCTTGGTAAACAATTGTAAAATCTACATTTACTTTATTATTAAATGTTGTAGTAGAGCTACTAGGGGCCAACAAATGACCAATTCATATGCATTTTATTACTAAAGGACAAAATATCTTTGATATGTGTAGATTAAAAAAAAATGCGTGCCATGTCTCTGACACCTACTGTGGCCGCAATTTTGAATTCAAACTGGGTCCGTTAGCTGCTCCACTATAGGTGATAAAATGTATTACCATTTGTCTTTCTAGGCTGCAATAGACTTTACAGGATCTAATGGAGATCCACGAGAACCCACATCTCTGCACTATATCAGTGAATCAACTCCAAATGAATATACAAAAGCTATAATAGCAGTCGGAGAGGTCATTCAAGATTACGATACGTAGGTTACCGTTTTTATTGAAGTTAATGCCCAGCTCTGAATAAATTCCCCCTTGAATAAATGCCCTCTCCAATTAACGCCCCCTCCACAGCCTTATTTGGAATAAACGTCTCCCTCGAATAAATGCCCTGGGTGTATATTTTTCCTTGGAATAATCGCCTTGGGTAATTTATTTTTTTCTTTGAATAAATGACTGTAAACAATACTAACTGAAGCAACGTACTTCTAATAAATGCCCCGGTGCGTTTATTCGAATAAATACGGTGTATTGTTATTACTTCCCTCATAAGTTGTGTATACAGTTATTCAGAAAGAAAAAACAGTATCTGTAAGTTTCCACAAGTCTTCCATTATCAGGGTTTGCAAGTTTGAAGAAGTCGCTTGTTGGGAGATCTGGTTAATTGAGCTTTCTTAAACACATCTAATGTTTTTTTTTTGTTTTTTTTTTTGTTGTACAAGGTGATACCCATTGGTACTGTTTTCTGTGAAACAATTAATAATAAAGTTGCAAGAAAATGCAAATATTATGAATTTGCGAAGATGGGTTATTTTCCGGGAGAGTCTTGCTTCCTTGTGGTAGTGTAGGAGACTGTTCTGATTTCCTGAAGACTCCTTCGACTTTCAAGAGATTTTCTTTGGCCCCCCTTTGCCCCCCCTCCCAAGTTTGGCCTCCCCAAAAAGAAAAAACTATCGCTGAGAAAAAATTTTTATGTATTTTCTTTCTCCTAAACCACTTTCAACACATTTTAAACGACGACCGCACACACCCACCTATGGCTACTCCAGTATATTGCCACCCCTCCTCCGCCCCCACATCCCAAATTTCAGACGCTAGCTCCGCCACTGATTATTATTTGATGTATAAGTATGTATCTCCTTTGGGACAGTGCCACCAGCTGCAAGTGAGGTAGTTGGGTGACGAAGGAGATAGTATAAGATGCCAATTTAATTTAGGTATGAGATGCCAATTTAATTCAGGTATGTAGAGTGAGTAAAGATTTTCTGTCATAGTATTTCCAGAGTTATCCAACTTTTGCCTGGAACGAAGCCTGTATCTGTGTATCAAAAGCTGTTGTATTTTTCTTTGTAGAGATAAATTGTTTCCAGCTTTAGGATTTGGTGCCAAAATTCCACCCAATAATGAAGTGTCTCATGAATTTGCCATCAACTTCACTCCTTCCAATCCATTCTGTGCGGGTAAGGCATCTGTTTTTAAGATGATCAATTTTGAGTATATTTCATGAAAACTAGATTAAAAAAAATGACTTTTTAATATATTCACATTCTTCACATTATAAGCTGTAAAATGATAGGTCAATTACTGGAATCAACTTACTAATGCCAAAGATATGAGTAAAAGTATTACAACTTCTGTATACAATATTGTCACACTCTTGTGCTAATTACTCAGTTTTAACAGTAGTGACAGTACATTTGTTTTGGGATGCCAAGCCACAAATTAAAGGTTATTCTTGTCTGACTTTGATGTGATCATATATTTTATTTCTCTAAGTAACGTTTATACATTTTAAAATATTGTACATCACAAGCAATTCTGTCATGATATACAAAATAATGATAGCTTTTGTGTGGATTTTCAGGTGTCATGGGTATTGTAGCTGCATACCAGAATTGTGTCCGCCAAGTTCAGCTCTGGGGACCAACTAATGTGTCACCAGTCATCGACCATGTTGCACGTTTTGCTGAATCTTCTAAGCAGAATTCCACTCCAAACTTGCAGGTAACACTTACCGCATTTATTGTGTGCTCACAGTTCGTCATGTTAATTGAAGTTCTGTCATGTTAGATGTAACAAAAAAACAAAAAAAAACAGGGGGGCACCCAACTCTTAAGAGTTGTAGCACTGGTTATATTTCATTTGTGTCTGTATGTATATGTATATTTATATGTATTATATTTATATATATAATATATATATGAAGGTGTTTCGATAGACGCGGTTTGGTACAGTAAGAATAGTTCGGGTTCTAAACCTTGGGGTCGGGGTTTCAATCCTTCACTGCATTTTACTTGTGTCCTTGAGCAAGGCACTTCATCTACATTGCTTCAGTCTACCCAGCTGTAGCAATGGGTACCAGCAAATTGCTGGTGGACCAGGTTCCCACCCAAGGGAGTATTATACTCCCATCCATGTCACACTACTTGAAACTGAGAATAAGCTCGACCCCTGTGAGCCCTAGTGCTCGGCAAAGATTTACTTTTACTATATGAAGATGTTAAACTAGAAATAAACTTTGATGGTCGTTGTTTTTATTTACAGCAATATTTTGTGTTGTTGGTACTTACTGATGGAGTAATAACTGACATGTATGAGACACGCAATGCCATCGTCAGAGCATCTCATCTTCCAATGTCCATAATTATCATTGGCGTTGGCGAGGCAGATTTTACTGACATGCAGAAGTTGGATGGTGATGATGGAATCTTGAAGTCGCCTTCTGGAGAACCAGCTGCAAGGGACATTGTTCAGTTTGTACCATTCCGTGATTTTAAAAATGTGGGTTTATTGTTTATCCTTCTGTTTGTAGACCTATTTTTGTATGGTGTGTTTATAATAAGTGTAGAAAACCAACATAACCCAAAAAGAGATCCTTACAGGTCCTATGCAGACCTAAATCCACACTACAAAAATTTAATTAACAAAAAATGTGATATGTCCATATTTGGGTGTAATATGACATCATCATGCCCAAATATGGGCACTTCACAAATTACTGTTACCTGTTACCTGATACTTTGAATGGCTCTTTTATTGAATAAATTCATTGGATGCAATGGTAAACTGGTATTAGAGGTTCTTGTTAATGATCCAAAGTCAAATGTAATATTGAGATCACTACTAAATATTAACATCTCAATTTTATACTTGATTTTGGATCAATAAAAAGAACCTCTAAAACCTACTGGCCCTTTTGTTATCTGTAATTTGTTAAAATATTCTTTTTTATTTCAGTCTACTCCGGCAGCATTGGCAAAATGTGTTCTTGCAGAAGTACCAAAGCAATTATCCCAGTATTTTGACATGCAGCAAATACCACCCCTGAACCACAAACCTTAAATGTTCCTGTAGATGTCTTAAATTCAAAGAATTGTATTTCTTTGTGATAAAATACTATCATTTACTTTAACATAACTACCTTTATCATAACATTACTTAGCTCTCAAATTAATATGTTTAGGACAATTTAGAAAATACTTGATATTAACTTGGTGTAGAGGTTCAAATTCTAATAATCATCATCATCACCACCATCATCTTTATCATATTCATCATCTTCATCGTCGTCATCATCATCATCACCATCATTCGTTATTAGACATAAACTCTTTGTTGGAAACACTCAATTTTCTATAGTGACAATGTAATTTCCATGTACTGATGCAGTCAATATGTGTGTGTCCCGGGGCATTAAGACACTTTACTTACCGTAAAACCTCGAGTAAGTCCCATGGGCTTAATCTCAAGAAGAAGCCCATCTCGAAAAAATGCCCATGAACTTCTAATCAAGATAATATGGGCTTCTTTCGATACAGTACTTACATCCAGACCGATGTTATCTTTGATTATTAAGATAGAGTGTCAGTATTAATAGTACTTTATTGTACTAGCATGGTTACAATTTTAAAAATATTAAACAGAATTTCAAATTCCATAGTTGAAAAATGTTGTATAGTATAAATTCCAAAATTTACACCATTCATTTTGAAAAGAAGCCTCCTCTTAGTGTACAAAAGTAATTTCGAAAAGAAGCCCCTCTTGAAAAGAGGCCCATCTCGAAAAGAAGCCCATCCAACTGTCCTGAAAGAATGAAGCGAAGGGCCTCAACTCGAGGTTTTACGGTATGTTTGTCTCTTTGGTACTGGAATATGCTGGTATGGTAAACTGACTTCTTGTGCAGTAGGTGTGGTACACACTTCACAGCACACTCCCAAATGCTGGAAAGATAAATGTGGCCTTGTTAGCTCAGAGTTCCAAATTTGACTTTACCAATATGTTCCAACTGTGAGAGACAAACTACAGTAAGCCAGTTATTGATGGGACAATCAATGGCCAAATTCATTCTTAAAAATTAATAGGAAATAATGTGAAGGTGATATTAAAATACTAATACTATAATCAATGTTTGAAATTAGATTTAAACTGTAAGATATATAAAGTGCCGAAAGACGGTTATATTATATTCATATTATTTTGTAAGTCTCAGAAATTCTTTTATTAGATTGAATTAATTTTTAACATAACAAATATATATGTTATTAGATACAATTGAATTTTTATCTCATCCTATATAATTATCCAATAGTATTTAACAAATTAGTATTATTAGGCTAGAATGCATTGAATATTTGTAATATATTTATTTTTTTTTAGATTTTAACATACTTAAAATAGAAGTACAGTGTAAGAGCATTTAGAACTCCATTATCATTCCTCTTCTAGACCAATAATAGTGGTGATTAAAGATAACAATGGTAGTCATTAATCTGGTTACCAGATTACCGCTACTGAACTGTTTCTAGTATAACATTTATTTAAAGGGCAGTTAATACTTTTTGCACTTATCACTCTGTTAACCAAGAGCCTGGTTCACACCTAGCTTAATTCCAGTTAACTGGATTAAGTTAGATGTGAACCATTCAATTTACTGTATGTCCATACTAATAATATAAGGTTATTACTGGTCTAGTCTAGTTAAAACTGTCTCAATAGTCCAGTTGATACTGTCACAACCAATCATGTTCATGTTCTTAGTCACATGACTAATCTTAACCTGGATAACTGGACTTCAATTTGATGTGAACACACCTTATTTGTCATTATTAATCTAGATTCCTGGACATAAGATTGATGTTAACGAGGTTAATTGTGGTCATTACTATAACCCTTCTAACAGGATTAATATCATTATTTATGTCATTTCATAAGTCAATCAATAACGTAATAGATTATCTTCATTATTTTCCTTTATCACTGTAGTAATAATACTGACATGTACAATCGCAAGTGCAATAATTAGGCATTTCTGGCATGCAGGGAAACCAGCTTGTATTTCATATTGTACGAGGCAATTTGTGTTTACTGTATATATTTATATTGTATCTGTTTATGCGATCATGTAGGTAAAGCCTGAATAAAGACATTCATTGTTGTGTTGTCCAATTTGTTGTTTCAAAATGAACTGAAAAATCTGGTTGGTTATAAAGAGGCGACTAGCAGAAAATTGGGCAAAATGTTCGGCAGTATAGGAGCTCCAACTGCGTACACTTTCTAAATATATGTCTTCAGATGCTTGGAACAACAAACAAAACTTGTGTAGATACATACCAATGCTAACGCATTCGGTGTGAGACTCTCCCATTCAGGTCTGTCATAAAACATAAATGTAATATTGCCTGTAATAAAAAATATATGTATACTTTGTAGCTCTCTTGCTAAATATTTATCATCTACAGTACTTAAAATAAGATTGGTTTTGTCATTACACATTGAACAACACAAACAAGTGATGGTGCACTTCACCAGGGTTGAATTTGCTTTCTGTTTTAAGTAACACACTCAACCAATCAAATTATGGAGCTCTCTGCAATATTTTGGTAAGGGTTGGTTAAAATTCAAAAATATCTATTACTAATTTTTTCGATCAGATCAGATCAAACTAGCTGTATCAACACTGTGAATATGTCGTTCTTTTAATCTGGTCACTCACTGTGGGCGACAGTGACGTGATGAAGAATGCACGCAAAGACACGGACCCAACGGATCATCTTTTTAATGAGGATTCGTACAGAATGCCACTGACAATCAGCAGACGGCGTTGCGTCGTCTATCTCTCGCCGGAAGCAAATGTGGATTCGTGGTGCGACGGTCGTACAACGCAGCGAATGTCTGGCTTTATGAGATCAAAGAACACACTGCTGCCACACACACATGGCATATAGGGAAAACATTTTTTCAGAGGGGTGGGAGGAGGGATCCTTTTTTACAACTAAAATCTCGCACCTGCAGATTAGTATAGCTTAGATTGTATGTGTACACTGGCGCACTTTTGAAGCTTATAGTTGATTAGTTCAGAAATGTAGAGTGGTGAGGGATTTATATAGGTGATAAGCACCAGTTTGAATATTAACATAATTCAAAGCCAGTATAATGCGATACAATCTTGAAGGGTGAAAAACAAGATGAGCTACCGTATTATATATTATTAAAGTTTTTAAAGTTCACTGAGATGTTGTCAGTGCATGAAGAAGTATATTCAATGACTCAACTGCATTGCAGAAGATAGGAGACCAACATACAAATTGGCATTGACTTTTATTGAAATGTGTCAACATTATATATTAGCATTTTATCATATCAAATTGGTTCAAGTTCCATTCACTGATAATGTAATATACAGTAGTCCACTGTTGTCAATCAACATCACATCATTCACAGTCCAACAGGAGAAGGTGTCTACTTCCTTTGTGGGGATGTAGCATCCCTCCTCAATTTGGTTTGAATTTTATTCATAATTGAGAATGTACATAGTCCACTGTTGTGGACCAACATCTTGCATAGTCCAAATAAAGAGGGCATCTTCTTTTGTGGGATTGTAGCTCCTCTCTCAATTGGTTTGAGTTCCATTCACTGAGAATGTAACATAGTCCGCTGTTGTTAACCAACAACACAATTCACAATCCAAATGAAGAGGGCGTCTTCTTCCTTTGTGGGGTTGCAACGTCTCTCCTTCCTGGTGTTGATATTTGCATTCTGTAAGAACACACATTTTTTTTGTTATACCAAAGGAATTATACAAGTTAAGAGTCAACATCAGTAATAATAAATAAATATATTGTTTTTGTGGAAAAAAACACTTGCTATTAGTGTTATACAGTATGCCAACTACATAGATTTCAGGCATTTGATTGGTTAAAAGCTGGGCAACAGTTCCAGCCATGCCATCTAATGCCTACAATCTATGAAATGGTATATAAAACAAATATTTATTGGGTTTTAACCATCTCATAGTTAACAATATAACACTTGGTAATCTAGAGGCTGTATTATGTCACTCGACTTCATCTCAGGACACAGTACAGCCTCCAGATCACCTCGCGGGTTGAGTAGGAGCCTAGGATTGGAACAACTAAGGCACACCTTACAGTTTTTGCCTCCAAATCTTTGAATGAATACATTTTAAAGTATATTACAGTATTATTATGACCCAAGGAATAAATTCCACTTGGCCTATTTATAAAAAGCATACTTATACCTTTTTATAGATGACTTCCTTTGAAGTTCTTCCTCCTCTTCTCTTGTTTTGAGCTCTTCTGAGGCAGCTGCCATCTGGTCCTCCATATTCACTAGACTTTCCTTAGCTTCTTGTCGCTTCTCAGACCGTGACTTGCCAGATTCTTTTACACTGTAAAACATTGGTCCAAGTTCAGCCAACCAATGGCCATCCACTGATGTTACGCACTGCATGTACTCCTATGAAAGTTGGAAAATATCAAGACTGTTGCACACTATATGTATATCTAATAAATGCAATCTAAACCAAAAATCCAATAATTTTGTATTCAAGTCTTACCTTTGACGTCATCACAAGTTCGTGGTAGATGATGTAATCTGGGGTGTACCCCATTCCAAACAACGCACTGGTGGGGTGCAAATGACAAGGCATACCTGTCCGAACATTGGCATACTCCCCAATACCCTGCAGGGAAAGTAATCCGGTCAATAATATTGTTTGTTTAGTATATGAAAACATACAGTATATCAAAAATTTCAGGAAGGAAAGAAGAGAAGGAAGAATATTACCTTCAGTTTTGCTGCCTGATGGAAGAATGCTGAGCAGATGCACTTCCGAATGATATCCCAACCTGTGCCGCATGACGTCAAGTCCATGCGTTGCTGGTCCATGATGTCTTTTAACTGCTGCCGTACCTCACGAACTTTACGCATTGCTTTCACATGAATGAAGTGATCACTACACCAAGCAGATGAATAACTGAAAAATGTTTTATTGTAAAAGTAATTTTCAAATATTTCTGGAAATGGTATTAAGAATAATTCAAAATTGTACTAATACTAGTTTATACTTGGATTTTAAATAGCATTTTTCTTGGCTTCCATGACTTAGGAAGGTTATTAATAAAGACACTATGGTCTTCATAATAACAAGGCTTACTTGTGCTGCTTCCATTGTTGATACACATTTAAATATGTTAGATGGTCACTTTCAGGTACTGCAAACTTCTCCCTAGCTTGGTCACTGTCCTCTTCTCGTCCTTTAGGACGAAAGAAAATTGATGGAACTGACAGCATAGAGACTATAATCTATAAAGAGAATATGATATACATCAACGAACAAAAGTATATGAGGAACCAGAAGCCAGAAAAGATTTGATGTAGAATGAAGAGGAGGAAGTATATAAAACAAATATGAAAGAAGATAAAAAGGAGACTAGACAAATATACTTTATGAATTGGATAACCTATGAAAGCTAATAATAATAATGAAATCTATCTTCTATAACAGAAGCTTGTTCACCAAGGTGGTGTTCTTCCACAAGGCCGTATCTTTTACACATTTATCTTTTACAGTTCAGAGGATTATTTTCAGTGGTGTGTACATGAGCCATATTAAACATGGCACCAATTGCCTCAACATTTCAACTTTTGTGTTTCCTCCAGCTGAAACATAAAGAGAGCAGTTATGGAATAAAACCAGAAACCACAGGTCTGAAAGAATCTTAATAGTTCGGCTAAGCTCAAAACTCACTAGAACTTCAGCACTGCATCCCATTTCACAAGCCACTATAAGCATCTTGGAGAGGGCCGGATCAAGTGGAAACTCAACCATTTGTCGGCCAATTTGTGTCAAACTTCCTGTGTTATCCAAGGCACTCAAAATCCAAAGCTGGTACATAGAGTTTAGCATATTGTCCTGAAAATTTAAATCACAATACACTTAACTTGCGTTCCATAAAACTTGAAGCTGGACTTTTTTGTAGAATTTCAATGTTGCGTGTTATTCAGAACCTTTGAGAGAATTGTTTTAATAATAATAATAAATAATAAATTGCTATTTATATAGCGCATATGTTTTTATTATATTAAGCTTACATTTATGATTGTGTTGACACCAAAAAATTAAAATACATACCTGTGGAGGAGGATCCATAAAATGAAATTGTAAAAGATCCCGAACTCCTAAAGATTTCAGCAGTAAAACAACATTTGCTAAATTAGTTCTTTGTATTTCAGGAACAGTAGTCCTAAGCAGTTCCTTCTTATATGCTGATTCAGTGTAAAGACGATAACACTGGCTAAATTAGAAAAACAAACAAAATCATAGATTTAGTTAAAATTTAATATTGTAAGTACTATGTTTGTTTTTTTTTATAGAAAATCAATAAGAATAAAAATAGAATTCTAGAGTCATTTTAACAATTTGTTTTTCATATGTTTAAAAAAATGTGATATGGAGAAAACTGCAGTGATGGAACTAATGGGGTTGGGAGAGACAATTTGGTGATCCAACCAGATATTGTGGTTGTAGTTTCTAATAGTGTGTTCTAAAAATGCACAATTCCTTACCATCAACCACCATAAAATTACTCTCCTTCACAATACCAAGGCATTGAACAGAGCTTCTAGGCAGCCCTTTAGGATCAGTCACAGATTTGTTGGACCATGTTGTCAAATTTCTGTAGCCACCACTAAGCTTAATACAATTCCATGTAATACACAACTCACCCAGGACCTGTTCTTCCAGCTCTGCCAGAGCGTTGCCTTGCATTTGCTTGACTGATGGGGTAAATCTGAAGAGCATCCATACCAATCCTAGGATTATATACTTTAAGTTTACAGTACCCTGAATCAACCACAAACATGATGCCATCAACTGAAAACAATACAAGAAAATTGTATTAGTACATCTAGAAAAAATGTAGCAAGTGTCTCTTGCTATATTATATCCCTGCTACATCGTGCCCCCTGCTTCATTCTGTCCTTGTGTTGGCCCATCCATTAAGATTAGCACACATCCGGTGTAATCCATATTAGAAAAACAGACAATGCAAGGCTTGTATCACAATATATGAAGCATTAATCTGTTCACTGTCTTCCCAGTTATCTTTTTCCATGTGAAATATACTTCTTAAGTACTGTGTACAAGTAAAACTTACCTGTAAGAGAAGTCTCAGCAATATTTGTAGCTACAATACATTTTCTAACGCCACCTGGTGCTTTCTGGAAGATTTTAGCTTGGAGGTCAGATGGAAGTTGAGAATAAATCGGAAGGATGGCAAGTTGAGGAGCATCATCTAGCTCGCCAAGTCTTTCTATTTTTTTAATAAGAATTCAAATTACGCAAATTAGCAGCAATGTTAGTAGTGAAACATCATGATAAACAAGGTATTGCAATTGTTTCTTAACTACAACACCCCTCTGAAATAATAGACCCAACCAAGAGCAATGTGGTTTTAAGCATGCTAGTGTGAATGCAGAGAATTAGGACAATTTTCAGCTTGTCAGTCTGAATGTGAGTTTGTCTAACCTGTAATGAGATCACAGGTGACCTCAATGTCTTCTTGTCCTGGCATGAACACTAGGATATCTCCAGGTGATCCCTGCAGGTGGATCTGTAGCACTTGCTTCACTGCTGAATCAACGTAATCTTCTACCACATTTTTACTGAATAGAACGTCAACAGGGAATGTTCGTCCCGGGATCTAGCAACAAAAAAGAAGTAGGAAAAATACAGTGTTATAATATATAGTCATGATGTGCCTATATGGTCATGATGTGATGATGAGATATTAAATAAAATTTGATAGTCTGGCCAGGGCTTTAAAGGCTTGTTCACACCATATAGATTTTGAGGTAAATAAGCAATACTAAGAATCACAATGTTGATAATAAGGCTGTGACCTCTATAAACAATAAACATACTTCAAAGACTGGAACATTTCCAAAAAAGTTTGCAAACTTGTCTGCATCCATAGTTGCAGATGTGACTATCAACTTCAAATCATGCCTTCGAGCAACAACCTGAAAAATGGAACAGAACAGTCAGAGTGTCATGTTATATCTTAGTTTAGTTTTCATATATTTTTATTCTCTTAAAGCAATGAGGTAATTTTTACTTTGGAAGACTGTATAAAAATACAAAAACATTACGAGGCTATGCCATTTGCTAGTACACAATAGATATTAAGAATTTCAGGGCACACAAAATAAGTTAGCCTGTCTAATTTATTGTTGGCCTAAAATTTGTTAACATGACAGGAGAATATACTCACATCTCGTAAAAGTCCAAACAACACGTCTGTATTTAAAGATCGTTCGTGAGCTTCATCCATAATGATGGCGTTATAGTGGTCCAAGTCAGATTCACGTAGCGATTCTCGTAGAAGAATACCGTCAGTCATGTACTTGATCAATGTCTTCTACTCAGAGAATCAAATAGAAAGTTCACTATAAATATTCTAAATATTCAATAAAATAATTGACGAGAAAGAATTTCCTTTACAAGTCATTCAGCATCTTCTAAAAAGCAGAGTTATACATGTGTTAAGATATTATATTACATTTTCTCACAGATATGGACCACAAAGGCAATATTTCCCACAATGCAATGCTACAGCAATATTATCATTAAAGTTCAATACCTTATATGTACGTAGCTACTTTTTCTGGTAGACAGCATTGATTGAAGTAGCCGGCGAAAACATCGTAGTAGCCGATCGAATGCGCCGGCCGCCGGCTCTTAAATAAACCCCTGATCAATCAATCAATAAATTTTTTACCTGAGTTAATTGAGTGGTTTTACCAGAACCTGTTTCACCAACAATCACAATGACATTGTTGTCTCGAATTACATTCAGAAGCTCCTGCCGGACAGCGAATATAGGAAGGTATTCACGCTGTTCACGTAACGATTTCTTCTTGGCAAAGTCACTTGCTGCTTCTGTCTTATCCTTCATGTGTTCAGCAAATTTCTGGTTAGTCTTGTAATCCACATCACCACTCTACACATTAAAATGTATAAATATATTTGAAGTAAATAAATTACTTATAGCAATAGGCAAAAGGAACAGACAGTTAATAGGTTATATGTGTAATCTACAAATTATTTTTTTTAAATTTAAATATTAATGCCACTTCTAGGAGTGGGAGGTACAAACCTCATCCTTTTCCTGAGTTTTCTTAATGCCCATGATGTTGCCAAGTTTAGTCCCGGCAAGCTCCCAGTCTTTGTGTTGTGCTTTTTTGCGTTCTTTCTGCTCCCGGTGCTTTCTCACAACCATCGAACCCTTCCTTGAAACTACAGCCATGTCAGAGGTACCATCCTACAATTCAAAATAACAAGCAATTGTTTGTCTATCCTATTCTTAGATTTCTGTCAAACAGGGGTCAGGTCAATAAAACACATCCAGATTTAAAAAAAGATTGTTTTCAAGAAGTTCGAAAGAGGGAAACAATGTAAGAACACAAGAATGCAAGTTTCAATAGCACACCATCTTTCACAGAAGTTTAAGTCATTGGTCCAGTGTGCCACATGGGCTCTGTGACTGGAAATAGTGTTTAGAATCTCACATGCTATCCTTGGTGAGTTTAACACCCAAAAATCAATATCTAAAAGCCTTGGCTAATTAAATAGGAGCAACTTAAGACTTGGACTGACCAAATTGAGTAAAACCTACCTTGAGGGGTACAACAGGCTCTGGCTGTTTAGTAAACACGATTCTACCATCAAGGAAGGGTGGCACTAAGTTATGGACCAGCAAATGAACCTTATTCACATTTTCTTCTTCAAAGTCTTCATCATATTGCACACGTTGTACTACACCGCTGGTAATCATTCGATTTGTTTCCCACTTCTCAACATCCTAAACACAAAATATAAAGTAATTAATAAATATGAGCTCTTTCAAAAGCATATGTCAAGATGCTGTACATTAGCTAATCAACAAACAAAAAAAAAGCAATTTTGTATCACGTAGCGTGTGACACGAGGGCCAGCGTATAAAGCGTTGGACTTTCAATCGGAACGTCAGAAGTTCAGGACTGATGATGTTTCCTTGGGCAAGACACTTTATCTGCATTTGCCTTTCTCCACCAGGAGTATAAATGTGTCCTGGTGCAAGGTTAATGATTCGGAATGTACTTAGTAGTGATGATTACATGCATAATCATCACTTAGTAGTGATGATTACACGCATAATTAGGAATACTCCCCAGGGAGCGAAGGAGGTTGCACGTTGTGTATGACAAATTCTGTATCCAATGACCAGGTTAAAAAACCACCTTGAGCAGTTTTCTGGATGTGTGCGCTATATAAATCCTATGAAATAATTAAAAAAATAAAATATCTTCACTATATAATAATTATAATGATAGATATTGATGATTTTTTTTATGATGATGATGATGATGATTGATGATGATGATGATAATGAATAAATATTACCTTATTGATTTGTCGTTGTCTTTCTGACATCCTCTTTGTAGCATGCTTTTGCATCTCGCTTTCTTTCTTCTGTATGTACTCATCAGGGATGGAGGAAAATGGGTTATTTGTTTCATCCGTACCTTCATCCATTCCATACCATTGTCTGTCAAGTCTCTGAAATGTAATTAATGTAATAATAATAATAATAATAATAACAACAAACAATAATAATAAATAAAATAATAATTAAAATAATAATTAAACTAGTGACAGTAATATTAGTAGTAGCAACAGCAACAACAATAATATTAATAATATAATAATAATAATAGTATTAAATTAATAATAATAATAATTAAATTAATAATAATAATAATAACAACAACAACAACAACAACAACAACAACAATAAAAATAATAAAAATAATACTAATATAGGATTTTTTGCCATCTGTATGTTGAAAGTGATAGTGTACTTTACACATGCTTAAACAAAGTACCTTACCTAAGAAAAACAAAGAGTATGTTTCATAATACATTTTCCTACACACCTTTTGTTCTGCTTCCCATTCAAGTTTGTCAGTGTCTGTGGTTTGTCGTCTCTCTGAGTAATCATCTGAAATGTTCCAAAAAAATATTCAAATCTGTACATTGTTTCCACTAAGAGTAATACTATCATGTTATAAATTGAGGTTTGCCATCCCCAAAACAGTGTACTGTCACTAAATGTTAACTTGAGTATTTAGCATAATGTGGCAGCATTGTTATACTTTAGTACAGAGAAACCGTAATACTTTTACTCATAACTTTGGCAATAGGAAGTCAATTTCAGTAAATGACCCATCATTTTAAAACTTAAAATGTGGAGAATATATTTTCTTGTTTAGGTCTATTGGCGGCAAGCTTCAATTATGAAGTGGTTACAAATATATTAATATGTACTGGGCATTTGCTAATAAGAAACCATTATGTATGGTTTATGCTGACTCTGCTCCCTGCTCCCCCAATGAACTGGGCCACTGGTTTACACTCCATATACCCCACTTGTGAAGTGACACACTCTGTTTAAACACCCTAGTAGCCTCTGCAATTCCTGTCTATAATAATTTATTGGCTCTCTCTTTCAAAGCAAAGGAACACTCTCACGCAGGAGAGGTTCGAACATACAACAGAAAAAAAAGATAATAGTAAGGAAAAATCCAAATGCAATTAAAGTAATATTATTCTAAAGTTTAAAATCTTTACTAAAAGGAAAAAAATAAATAAATAAATAAAATTTAAAACAGTTTTTTTTTTAAATATATAATAATAATAGTAATAATAATAATCAATGGAATTCTAATCATAAGCACATTAAATACCTTTGCTGTATGGGGTAACCCCAGACTTCTTTCTGTCATCTGCCCACGCATTGTACTTATAGCTTGGAGTCAGGACTGGAGTATCATCCACAGCATTTCTGTAAGATTAATATAAACACTGGCTATAAATTTTCTGGCATATAAAGAACAGGAGAGTCTACAGGTAATCTAGACTAATATTTAAATGTTGATGAGTGTGGTAATGTATATTGTGTAAAGAGTAATTATTATTATTGTATTTATTGATGTGATATTTTCTTTACACCATAAAAATATACTTGTTAAATAATTAATTTACATTTACTAGTGTATTCTTAAAAATGTAAACCACAATAAATATAAGTGCGTTTACAACATAGAGATATAATAAGAATACTAGAGCGCTAACCGCAATGTATTCGATGTTCAAAATACGCAGAACTGTGTGTGTGTACCATCCAAGATGGCTGCCATAGATTTAGCCAATCAAATTTCGCTAAGCACCATCGTTTGCAATTGCGCCCTCAATTTACTCAGAAAGTTCGGTACGCGAGTTTTTTTTCCGTACGAAACATTTACATGAAACTCCACTCGGGCCGTCTCGACTGAATCGACTCGGGCCGAAAATCTCATAATGCAGAATTCAGGAGGTCAAAAGGTCATCAACAGCTAAACGTCTACAAAATGCAAAACAACTTCTGAGAGAACGTCGCTGTCTGATTTAAAAAAAATATGTTACCATGCTAATACTAATGGGTCGTTTAAAATGACATATAATGTGAGCTGCACGAGTAATGGAAAGTGATTTGAACTTAAGTTAAATACTGTGACAATTTTATTTATTTTTTTTTTAGTTAAATCTGGGTTTTGCATATTTACTAGGCCTACTAACTACTAAAAATATACGCTTTCAGGGGAAAGCACAAAGGGGAAGGA